ACTCTGTCCTGTAGGGTCGCTATGAGTCAAATCGATGTGCAGCAGTTTTTTTTGTTTGTTTGAATTATTATAGCTTTATAATATATTTTAATATCTAGTAGGGCTATTCTCCACCTCCCACACACACACTTTGATGTTTCATTTGAAAGTAAGTTGTAGGCCATCATGACACTTCCTCCTTATGTATCATTTTAGTGAGCTAGTGCTACCGTAACAGAAATACCTTTAAAGAACAGAAATTTATTTTCTCACAGTTTTGGAGGCTGAAATTCCAAATCAGGGTCTTGGCTGTGTTGATTCTTTGTCAGTAGCCGCAGGAGTTCCTTGGTTCTTGGTGATCTTCACATGGCATCTCTCTTCCCCAGTATGTGCTTGTCTCTGTGTCTAATCTGCTTTTTATAACTCAAAAGTGATTAGGTTTAGGGCAGACCCTATACTGGTATGCCCTTATTAACATTAGATTGCATTATGGTAAGTGTATATCATTACATTACAATCCGTAGGCATAGGAGTTAGAATTCTAACACATTTTGGGAGACACAACTCAATCCATATCAATCATCATGTATCTCTTAAGAGTAAGGAGATTTTCCTACATAACCCTGTACCGTTATCATCCCTAAGAAAATTAACAATGATTGCACTGTATAGTCTAGTATCTATCCGTCCATATTTTCTGCCCCAGTTGTCCCAGGGATGTCTTTTATAGCTATTTTTTTTTCCTCTGAACCAGGAACAAGTTTAAACTTGACATTTGATGATTGATTATGTGTTTGGACTCTTTTAGTTTAGAATAATTTTGTCATATTTAAGAAAATAATACTGATATTTCGAAGAGTTCAAGGAAATTGTAGAATGGCCCTCATTGTTTGATATATGTTGTTTACTCATTCCTTTATCCCATCTATTTCCATAAACTGGAAGTTAATCAAAGGCTAAATTAAATTCAGGTTAAAATTTTTCTGGTAAGAATACTTCATAGTGATGCTGTGTACTTGCTGTGGCATCACATCGTTGGACACGTAATGCCAGATTGTCCCACTATTAGTGATGCTGAGTTTGGTCATTTGGGTAAGTAGAGATTCCAAATGCAAAGGAAAACTTTGCATTTAGTAAGTAATCAATGGGGTACTGCTTTGTCACTGTACAAAAATCCTTTTCCCCAACTTCCTTTCACGTAATAACTTAGTTTCCATTAATGATTGTTGCCTGGCACATTCATTGCATTGTGTTGCAAAATGGTGATTTACTAATCCTGTTCTTCTATGTTTATTAGCTGTGATTTTTCTGTAAGAGTTTTCCTTTTCCCCTTTATATTTTTCTTAATATCACTATGGACTTTTTTTCTGCTTATTTTTCTGTGTGTATAGTATATGCATAGAAAAGTGTACATATCAGAAGTATACAGCTTAGTGAATTTTCACAAATTGGATTTTCCCATTAACATGCAGAACAAGAAACAAAATATTACAGTACTCTGAAAGCCTCCCTAATGCTTCTTAATCACTAGCCCCAACCTTCCTCCCCCAAGAGTAATCACTAGTATAGATTAGTTTTGCCTGCTTCTTTCTTTTTTATAAATGAAATCATACAGTATATACTCTTTTCTCTTGTTTCTTTTCATCAACTTTATGTTGGTGAAATTTGTCCATATGTTGAGTATTGTTGTAGTTTCTTCGTTTTCATTGCTATGTGGTATTCTTTTGTGAATACACTGCAATTTATTTATCCCACTGCCTTTGGGAAGTTTCTTATTGACTATTAAGAATAGTAAAAAAAACAAAAACAAATAAAACCTGTTGCCATCGAGTCGATTCCAACTCATAGCAACCCTATTGGACAGAGTAGAACTGCCCCATAGGGTTTCCAAGGAGCAGCTGGTGGATTTGAACTGCTGACCTTTTGGTTAGCAGCTGAATGCTTAACTGTTGCACTACCAGGGCGCTATTAATTAAGACTAGTACCACTGTGAAATTCTTGTATGTCTTGTATGTTTAACTTAGTTTTTTATTCAATATATTACAATAAATTAAAATTGTTATTCTTTTTGATGTTCACATTGTTTTAAATTTGACCAGGTCATGTCTTTTTCACATGGCCCCATTAGTCTTTGAATACTGCCCTGCATTCCAGCATAAAAAGATGTCTTAGGCTTATCTTGTATTTTCCCTGCCTCAGACTTGAAATCAGCTGTTTTTCAAAAATTACCCATTTTTTTAATGGTGAATAGTATTTAGAAATCATAGTCTGGATGCTAGGTATGCTCATTGCTGCTGGGTGTCATTGCTTTTAGGTTCTTTCAGCATATAGAGCTGAAAAGAAAAATCTTTTCATATTATTATTTCCATTAGTCTGTTTTTTTAATAGCATGAATTGTCATGCAATTTGTCACCATATAAAGGTCCTTGAAAGTATAAATTGAAACCATGACTGTTGTTTCCCATCTGAGAAATATTTGTTCATCTTTTATAATTTTTATGATTACCAAAGTAATGTGTGTTCATTGTAGAAAATACAGATAAGCAAGAAGAAAAAAATAAAAATTACCTATATTTCCGACTACGTATAACATTTTGGTGTCGATCACATGAGTATGTATTTCAGTATGGCAAAAATGAGTTCCTAAAATAAATTGTTTCCATTTAAGAAATAGATTGTGAAAAATATCTGATGCTCATTTGTTTCTCTTAGGACAGCAGCGTTCTCGAATGCTTGCTACTCTTTTTAAGGATGAAAGGTGCCAGCAACTTGCTGCTTATGGGATCCTAGAGAAAATGTACCTAGATAGGATCATCAGAGGAAATCAACTTCAAGAATTTGCTGCCATGCTGATGCCTCACCAAAAAGCAACTACAGCAGATGGTAATGATCATGTGTTATAATTAGGTGGTGGTAAATATTTACGTACAGACTAGTGGAACATATATTAAATTTGAAGCGCCTAGATGTCTTTCTGTAGTGTTTCAGTGTAACACTTGCTGATACTTATTTTTTAAAAAAGAGAAATAATAGCTTGATTAAAAATGGTTGTGATAGTTAACATTGTGTGTCAACTTGGCTGGGCCATGATTCTCAGTGGTTTGGCATTTATGTAATGAGGTAGCTTGGCAGTTAGGTAGTGATGTAATTTGGCAGTTATATAATGATGTAGTCATCCTCCATGATGTGATCTTATGTGATCAGCCAGTCAGTTGTAAGAGGAGTTTCTTCAGGGGTGTGGCCTGCATTCAATATATATTTGGAT